CTCTCTCTCTCTCTCTCTCTCTCTTTTGGTTTTCGAGACAGGGTTTCTCTGTGTAGCTTTGCTGGGCGGGTTCGTCTCCTTTTTGTCAGGTACACCAATGCTGGGGGGGCGGGGGCAGCGGGTTCTTGCGGTCTTTCTGGGACTCTTTATGCAACTGTTGGCCCGCCGCGTTGGAGTTGGTCTGGGCCGCGGCCTGAGCCGCGATCTTGGCCCCAGGGCCCCCAACGCCGCCCCCGCCGGCTTCTTTTTTCTTGTTCTCTGCTGCCTTCAGTACCTTGAAAGGGTCCGATTCGTTGTCAAATAGCTGGTCGAATCGGTTGGTGACCACGCAGCCGAAGCCTTCCTGTAGGTGCCCAGGCATGATGGTGGCTGGGCGGCGCGTTCCTCCACGGATTGCAGCGGACTGCGCAGAGCCAAAAGCGCCTGCTTCAGCGCTTCCCACAAGATGTGATTTATTTTATTTTTATTTTTAATGACGTGTATGTGTTTCTCTGTGTGTGTTGTGTATGGGAATATGTATGTGTGAGTATAGTGGCTGTGAAGGCCAAAAGAGACATGGGGTCCCCTAGAACTGGAGTTACAGGTAGGTGTGAGCCAGCTGATATGGGTACTGGGAACTCAGGTCCTCTGAAAGAGCAGCAGGTGCTTTTAACTGTTGAGGCATCTCTCCAGCCCTGAAGTTATAGTTTTTATTTTGAAAACACCGTAGTCCTTATATTTTATCTCCTTTGCCTCAACCTTGACTTTTAAACCCTCTTGCTAGGATGTCTTTAAAATTAACTTCTAACTAGGCTTTGCATCGCTTGGTCAAACAACCATGTTCTTTTGAGCTTTTGCTACATTGATTTCCTTCCTTCCTTCCTTCCTTCCTTCCTTCCTTCCTTCCTTCCTTCCTTCCTTCCTTCCTTCCCTTCTTCCTCATCTTCTCCTTCTCCTTCCCCTTCCTCCTCCTCTTCCTCTTCTTCTTTTTGATTGTTTTTCAAGACAGGGTTTCTCTGCGTAGCCCTGGCTGTCCTGGTACTTGCTCTGTAGACCAGGCTGCATATTGATATTTCTAAGAAATTCTGACTAGGTAAAAAAAAAAAATGTTCAGTGGTTCTTAGGTCCCCTTTGCTCATGTTTATGTGTTTTGCATAGAGCCCTGGTCTGACCATAGTGTCAGCCTAAGAGCCAGTGGAAACATCTGATGGCAGTGGGGTGTTCCAGACTCTGCTCAGTTTTACACAGAAAGGTATATATGTATATATATATATATATATATATATATATGATATATATGTATATATATATACACATATATCATATATATATATATGAAATTTAGAAAAGGATATTTTTAAAGAAAATTTGAAAACTAAATGTCATCAAGAGGAAATCTGCTTGGCATAACATATACATGGTCTTTCCTGAAGAAACCACTGCCTGTCTGCTCAGCTCCCTCTCATTCCATGAAAATCATGGGTCTCCAAGCTTTTTCCAAGGCCCCACATTCCAAATGAGCATCTTCTTTAAAAAAAAATATATACCTGCTCATATCTTTGCCCCTCAACTACCTGCATTCTATAAACAAGTGTTTTGTATCTCCCACTATCTATCATAAAACAGACACTTAATAGAATGCTTGTTGAATAAGTTTGTTGAATGAACAATCAAATCAAAGAGAGGTGGTTAGAGAATAGAATGGATGTACATATAGGAAAATATGAAAATGGAGAAAATACATTAAAGGAAGGTTTCACCAGATCTTCTGAATGACTCACTTGGCATTTAAGAGGATGGAGATGGCTTCCATCACCGTCATGACCAGATCAGGGGGCTTTGTGAAGACTCTGATTTCAGAGATATCCGCTTTATCTAAGGAATCCAGCGCTTTATTGGCGGCATCAAGGGCAGGAAGTGCTTCCTCGAGGTCTCTCTGGGCATCGTCAGCGATTGCTTGGGTTTCTTCGGCTTTCACCTTTGCGATTGCTTCATCTTCTTGCACAACACTTCGGACCTGGTCACAGAATCGGGGTTGATTAGGAAGGATGTCTCAGTGAGCAAAAATACCCCAAGTCTGAAGTGCTTGGAACACCGAATACGGTCACAAGCAGTGAGTTCCACACTGGGCCTCACGTGACAGTGACAGATTAGTTCAGGTAGCCAAGATGATTGTACCAAGTTACTGTAAGATGCTGTGTATAAAATGTAGATAAGTCAAATGGACTTGTGCTTAGGTTTGAGTCTTGTGCTGTGTATTTCATATTTATACAGATATCCCAAAATCTAGAAGGATCCAAAATGCTTCTTATGCTAAGTATTTCTACCAGGAGACATATGACTGGTGTTTGAAGAGTCAGGATAACGACCTACATTTGCGCTTTGTGTTAGACCAGTGGTGAGAGGGAGTTACATTTCATCTATCTCATGCCTTATGATAAAATCAATTGGCAGCTCCTTCTTAGAAGGAGGGGAAGCTGTTTTATAATTTCACATATTGCTTCTCTCAGACTCTTTCAGCTCTGATTTGGTCCAGTGAAATATGATTACAACTTAAAACATAACTGAATTTCTAGAAAAATAGCATTACCAATTCTGGTATCTATTTTAATGACACATATATGAAAACGACCTGATCAGTTATTGTGGGTTAGTTTTGATTGTCAACTTGATAGAATTTATAGTCACCGTGGAAGCACAGCTCTGGGCATGTCTCTAGGCTTGTTTCTAAAAAGCTTTAACTGAGCAGGGAAGACCCCCCTGAATGTGGGTGGTACCATTCTATGAGCTGGGGCGGGGTGGGGGTCTTAGACTGAATAGAAAGTAGGAAGGAAACCCAACACCCGTGTTCACCCGTGTTCACCCGTGTTCACCCTTGTTCACCTGTATTCACCCGTGTCTGCTTCTGGGTTGTGGCTACATTGTGGTCAACTGCCTCACACTCCTGAAGCCATACTGGACTGTATTCCCTCACACTGTTGGCTCAAACAAACCCTTCCACACTTAAGTGGCTTCCTGTCAGTTACTTGGTTGTAGTGATGAGAAAAAAAACGATTATTTATCCTATGCAATTGTTGGGGTGCCAGCTGCAGCCTTTACCCGTAGGGCCACTCCCAGAACCCCGACTACCTGATCAGCGTTTTCTTGATCCACCGCCAGCTTTTCCATCAGGGCTTCAACATCTTGTGACTTCTGTAGAAGCACAGGCTCTAGAGCCGAGAGGTCTAATTTCATTTTATCCACCAATTCGTTCGTTTCCAGTAGCTTGGTGAGACCATTCTTCACACGATCTCGTGCCTAAATGACAGCAAAAGTTCCATAACAGTGTTAGAAGCTTTAGATTGCTGTTATTCATTATTTATACATTAAATTTTATACCTACAGAATCATCACACCATTGTATTACACTTCAAGTTGTGAACCTACAGCAATAGGAAAACCTTCGTAGACAGTACGACGCTAGGAACTGGCCACACTACTGACCATGTGTTGTTTAAACCCAACCCTCTGGCTACAGTGGTGGGATGTCTCTAAACCATTTGGCTCACTGAGGGAAGGGAGCAAGGCCTGTTGTTTTTATTCTTCATGGTAACACATGGAATGTCAGAGACAAGTTCAGACAGGAAGCCCTGGAGGCCTTCATTCTGGGAGCTTGTTGACTCCAAGTGGGTCAAGAGCCCTGAGAGTCTGGAGACAGAGCCCTGAGACCTGGGCTCTGATTGCTGCATCTGAGCCCTATTTCCTAGGAGTGAAAACCCTTGTCTGGGGTTGCGGAGGTGGCATACAGTCCAGGAGACACCTCCAGAAGAAAGAGGTGCATAAACAAGATCATTTCGAATGGTGAGTAGTCAAGGTGACTGTTGGGCTAGTTACAAGTCATGCATTCTACAAGGCTGGACTCCTGAAAAGTATTTTAAATGTCCAAGTAGCCAAGGCTTCTACTTTCTGTGTCTAAAATGTTTGAATTTTGGGTCATGTTAATGGCTCCATGGGGAGGAGGATGGCAGCCACTATTTCTGGGCATCTCACATGCCAGGCCATA